AGTTGTGAGTCCTCATCTCACCATGCCCATTCCTGGAGGATGCATAGAGGCATGAAATGTAAACATGCTGTCCCCACCCCCACCTTCACCCCCCAGCATGCCCTGATGTAAACTACCCAGCCCAGGAACCCCCATGGGGTGGAGGGGGAAGAGGCATGACTATTTGGAATGGCAACTTTGAATGCTTCCCAGAAAAAGCATTGAGCATGGTCCAAATCAGTGAATATGATTTTGTTGTGAATTTCACAAACCCCACTAATGTAACTGCCAAAACCATGTGAGAGAAGCAGGCCCCACACGCTGATCACGAGTAGTGCAAACCACCTCTGTGCTTCGAACTGTTTTCTCTGCCTTTGTTTTTTGTGTTGTTGTTTTTTGTTATGTGTACACTTTTAATGGGTTTAAACATTTAGTGAATCAACAATCTTAGGCATGATTATAATGAACTCCTTAGACATTTAAAATCTGCCTTTGGCCCTGACCGGTTTGGCTCAGTGGATAGAGCATCGGCCTGCGGACTCAGGGGTCCCAGGTTCGATTCCAGTCAAGGGCATGTACCTTGGTTGCGGGCACATCCCCATTGTGGGGTGTGCAGGAGGCAGCTGATCAATGTTTCTCTCTCATTGATGTTTCTGACTCTCTATCCCTCTCCCTTCCTCTCTGTAAAAAATCAATAAAATATATAGTTTTTAAAAATCTGCCTTTGTTTTTTAACTTTAGATGATGAGGCAGGCTCCTCTGGACATGACTTGCTCTAAGAAGCCCTGGAGCTATAACTTTCTAGAGCTGGCAATGGTTGTGTCATGCAACAGGCCAGGTAACCTGCAATACTGAAGCAGGCTCCCACTGTCTCAGGGACGCCTGTGTCTGAGAGGGAGCACTCCACCGGGCAGCGCTCTGTGTATCGGGAGCTGATCTGACAGAATAAGCCACCCCTCTCCCTTTGCAAGAACCCCACAAGTACTGTCAGCACAGCGGAAAGGGCTTGTGGGTGATCCCTGAGCACCCACTAGGAGGGAGGCTTGCCTAGGCAAACCACCTCTTCAAAGGAAATAACATTAAAGCTGCTGTGGTCATAAATACATTTATTTCATTAAAAATGCTTAATTACAGTGCTGAGAGCATTCCCCCCTAGAAAAGTAGGTAAGCAATATTTCCATCAAAATGTTAGTTGTCTCTGCAAATACCTATTTTCATTTCACTGAACAGAGCACACAGCAAAAGGCTTCTGCTACTCCTTTTTTTTTCCATTTTCTTTTTTGTTATAAACACCATAGCAAATTAAAAAAGCTGTTTAAACAGAGAAAAATATTGTAGTTCTTGATTTTCTGCGTGAACTTAACGCAATCCACACTGTGCTTCCCACTCTTTCTCTAGGTACCAACAGTGGGACTCAAACGAAGGGGTCTTCTGGAGGGTTGGCGGCTGTTGTCATCTGTTATTTACTGGGACACTTTCCCCTGTGGATGAGGCTCCAGATGCATTTTAACAGAACACGTGCAGTCACCTCCATTCAAAGCCATGGGGCCAGATGCGTTGTAGAACTGGGTGGTTGGCTGGAGCCGGCGCTGAGAGCGGCGACGGCTCCACCTTGGGTCCTGTCATGGTCGGGCAGCCAGTCCTGCATCACTGGATCTGGATGGCTCCGTGCTCAAGCTGCATTTCGGGCTGCAGTGTGGGCTGCAGGGTCTCGGCCGTCTGCAAGAGGGGAGAGAGGAGGGCTTTTCTATAAAAGTGCCCACCAACTCAAGTCCAGGACACTCACTGGTCACAAAATACCAATGGTTTTCATGCACAGAGCAAACACACAGCAGAGCTGGAAGGTCCGGGTCCTAAGTGCACCCCTGCTTTGAGTGATGACTCCCAAAACCTGAGCTGCTTCGCAGCAGCTCTGATGAATCCGGGATGTGGCCCCTCCTTGTGGGACCGCCTGCTTGCTCAGGTCCTGAACGACCCTCCCACACAGCTGCAGAGATCCCTAAAGTCTGTGGTGCTTATTTCCTATTCCCACCCCCTGCTTATCACTGGGGATACTCTTGAAGTGGTTAACACATCCTTAACCTAATATATTTTCCTAGAATTTCAGTTACCATTTTGCCTTTTCTTATAAAAACTATTTCAATGTTCCAAAAAAGCATTTTAGGGGCAGCTAGCTTTCTCCCCTTAAAGACATACGTTCTAAACAATGAGTTATAGATATTAAGATATTTTTAATGCATATTTACAATGTTAAGATACATTAAAGGGAAAAATATAATCTTGGAATAAGTCACCAGTCATCCACCTAAACCATGCAGAACTGGCTCCCAGATGGAGATTTGGGGATTTTTAGGGTCCTCTAAGCTGTCTGTCAAAGGCAATGTCACAAAGACTAGACCCTCAGAGGTAGTCCCAGCTTCCCTGGCAGGAAATTTAGCTGGAGAGGCCTGGCATGGCAACTGAAGAGAGACAAAGAAAGCCACAGAGACTGGAAGGCGGAAGTCCCTGGGCATGGGGGCTAGTGCTACAACCCCTACTGCAGTTCAAGGCTGAGATTTTGAAATACTATACAAATGGCATTTAACAGTGTTTCCTTGAAGCAGAGGCCTTCCAGTCTCAGACGAAGGACTTGGCACAGGCATTGCCCGTGCTGTCTGTCTAAGAGCCCACAGAGTGGCTGGGCAAGAGCAACGACACAGACGAGGTGGGGGCTTCCCCACACATTTCTGGACGAGGGAAAGTGGACTAGACAGTGCTGGTGTCTGCAGACAGGAGAGAAGCTACAGGCTGGGGCAGTATGCATGCATCTCATTCTCTGCTCTTCTATCTGTCCTAATTGAATGGATCTTGAGACCTGCTAGGTGTGAATCGAGACAAAAAAATAATGCCAGGAAGCCAAGGTGGCAAGGGGCTAAAATGGACACAGTTTTCCGCAACTCTGAAATCTGTAATGACGACAAACCTACAACATGGAAGATGACCCACCACAGAGCCCCCCAGACCTGAAGAACACACACCGTGCCAACCTCTGCGCCGCCCAGCAGGAGTGAACTGCTTTTACACACGATCCTTTCACAACAGCGTGGGTATCAGACACCATCACCCGGCATGAGACGAGGTGGGTACACATGGGAGGTTTCTTCTAGGACAGGTTTGTTCTTAAATCACAACAGAAAACTGGTCGGGGAGAATTCCTCTCCCCACAAGCGCACATCCTTCACCGGCTCCAGGCCATGCCTCATCCCTCTCCACAATGGAAGGGCCTCTATGGTCACTGCTCTGAGGAAGCCCAACACCACTCAGGGTGGGAAGTGCCTGGGCTGTGGGAGCGGCTGGAGGGGTCTGGTGGGGGGTGAGGCGCACACCTTCTTTAGGACACACCTTCCCAAACTCTGGGCCAACTGGGGCCTCATTGTGAGTCGGGAGAATAAGAATTTAAGTCCTCAGAGGACTGAGTTCACTGAGCTGGCACCTGGTCAGCAGGGTCACCATGGGCAACCTACTTGGTTCCATTCCTCAGCAACCACCTCACGAGGCTGCAAGAAAACCAAATGAGAACTTCCTTTCCTCCTAGGGCAATAGAGAGCACATGACACCTAGCACAGTGCAGAGCAGAGTGCAGGAGGGAAGAGGGACCGCCCGGAAATGCGGGGCTTTAATTTTAAATGTCAAAGGCTGACGGCATCGAGACACAAGAGGCTCAGCAAAAAGGAGAGGAGCAGACCCAGAGAGGACAGCAGACCATGCAGAAGGCAGACAGGAGCCAATACCTAGCAGGCTGGAAAAGAACATCCACAGGTCCTGTGGGCAGGAAGCTCTGAGGCCTCCCAGGCCAAGGCTGCCCAGACACATGCCCCCTGCCTCCCCATGGCCAAGCACCTACATCACAATGGCATTTGTCTTATCTCAGCAGTAAAGTTAGTGATTTAACCCCACGGCCTGTGAGGTCTGAGAATGCAGGCCACCGGCTTCTCTGTGCCCTTCACAGCAGCCTTGGCCTTGTTCCCACGACTCACTGCCCTCTCAGGACCAATCCTGTGGTCATTCTCAAGAAATAGGAATATGCACTGACTTTAGAACTGGTTGTTCTAAACACAACCAACCAACCACACAGAATCACTCACACTGTCCCCTAAAGGGGATCAGGCTGTCAGGCTTATGCGAGCTCTCCCAACTAGATTAGGGGGTGAGAGGCAGGCCTGGGTCCCCTGCAACCAGGGTGACTCTAGAGAAGCCACAATGCTTGCTCCACTGAGCACACTCACCGAGGGGCAGCTCCAAGAACACTTCAAATATCTAAAGAAGCGACTCACTCATCTGACATTTCAGAAAGTGTCCAAACGGAGCGTGAAAGCCGGTTTCCAGTGCTCCCAGGAAGCATGGATAAGGGCAGCTTAAGCGGAGATCCAGCAAAGCCAGATGCCGAGAGGCTTCCGTGGAAGCTCGTCGGTGCTCAAGCAGACATGCCGAACAAGCACATAGCAAACACAGGTGGACCTTACAAATGCAGAGTTCTCGCCAAGGCTGTCAGACTGCTATGCTAGAAGTATGGTGTGGGAAGCTGGAAACCTGGCCATATGGTGCTCCCAGGACCAAGTGCAGGCACCACAGCTAGCCGGGCCATCCTACATTTCCACCCTAAAGCAGCGGGCTGCTCAGAGGGAAGTGCCCCAAAAACCTGCCCCTGGGAAAAAGGTGAAGGCTGAGGGCTGCGCCCGCAGGAGTGCCGACCCCTGGGCCCTGGGCCCTGGGCCGGGTGCCGCCCACACAGAGGAGCAGCGAAGTCTCAGGTCAACGGGAACCTCTCACTTTTGAAGGAGAATTGACCAGAATTTATTTTTTGCTTCTGAGTTTATAGACAAACATTTGCACAAGACAAAATAGCTCAAGAATCAGTTTAAGACTAGCACCTGGGTTGAGTTCTAACTTCTCACCTTCCTCCCGGAAGAACGTCAGAAGTAGAAATAACCAAGCTGTGTTCATACCTACAGAAGACCCAGGACTTGTCCACAGAGACCCACCTGAGCTGCCGTAGTGTGGTCAGTCACTGGCGCCAGCTGGACGTACTGGACCTGGATGTCACTGCCCTGGAGAGGTGACCCATCCATGCCTGTGGCAGTGGGGTCTGAGGAGGCCACGGCTATCAGCTGGGCCCCCTGAAGCACCTGGAGGGACAAAGCAGAGACCGTTAGCACCATCACGGTACAAGGGCAGAGTGAAAGCCATTCATGCAGACTCCACGTGACGGCATGGACCAAGGAAGACGACCCAGCACTGCACTCCACACTGTGGGGTCCGCCTGCCCGCAAATCATCTGGAGTAACGTATGTGTGTGTAGAGAGCATGTGTGAATGTATGTGTGTGTGATCAGGCTGTTCCACATCTGCAAGGGACCTCCCTCAAACATCCACATTTCAGAAAGATGGCTTTTTAAGCCTTATAGGAAAAAAGCAACCAGCTCAGGTTTCTGAAGAGTGTGGGACGTGGCCAAAGGCATGCCTGAGAGCACTGGGATGGAGAGAAAGTGGGACATGGAGCAGGAGATAAAGCACATGAATACCTTGGGAAATCACTGTGGTTCTAGGTTCATGGGAGGGAGACATGAGGGCAGCCAGGAGGGACAGGAAAGGCAGCAGGTTCTCCACCCGCAGGGAGGACACATTCCTCGGCTCTTCCTGGAGCCCCTGGAGCATTTGCAAGTCAGGGGAGATGAAGAAGTGCCCCCCCAACCCCACCCCAAGAATTGACCATCGAATTTAAGAAATAGCAGAAACATGGGTGTGAGTTACAACACCCAATGCTCCAGATGGAGCCAAGAAGACCTCTGTGTGAGGAGCGGGCGGTTTGGAAGAGAAGACACTGATGAAGGATAGCGGTAGAACTCCCGGCGGGGGGCGGGGGAGACCAAGTTCCAGAGACAAATCACCATCACCAACGCACGTGCCCCATGACAACCAGGGACAGCACCTGGACTGTGCCTGGAGGTGGGAGCCAGGTGAGGGCCCAGAGACAGGGTCTGGGTAACCCTACCACTCATGAGCACGTGCTCTAGCAGCCGGAAGATAAGCTGGTGCCTTGACCTCCCGAAGGCCAGGATGGGGAGGTGGTAAAGGAGGTCTCTGAGGCCAGGATGGGGAGGTGGTAAAGGAGGTCTCTGAGGCTTTATATTCATGACAGTGAAATGCCATAGCTGTGAGATTATATGCCTATGGCACCACCTTCCAGGGTCACTTGTGGGCCATTCATAGTGGGGCAACAATGACCACAATTCCCAGCCAGCCCACTACCTCCTGCAACAGCATAAGAGCTAAGGAAGAAGGTGTGGATCCGCAGAGAAAAGAGGGATTGCCCACTCTGGGAAAGGTGGACTCGGAGTCCTTATGAAAATAGAGTCTGTGGTTTTAAAATATCATTCTAGTTTTTGATAAACAAGAGTTCTATTTCTTTAACAAGGAACTCATAAAGGAAAAACTGGTAAACTCCATTTTTAGAATAAAAGATGACAGAAGGTTGTTAACTACTTTTCGTTTCTTCAGAAACCACAGTTTCACATTCTAACACCAGCCAGCTATGTTGGGAGGATACTGCCCCCAAGATGCACACCTCCTTCTCCCCGGACCCGCAGGTGTGTGCCCTGATACTCGCAGAGGCACTCTACAGACGGATTGAGCTGGTCATTTCAAGATGGGGAGAATGCCCTTGAGTATCAGGTGGGCCCAATGTCACATGGGTGTCTTGAAAGCAGAGACTTTCCCAGCTGCAGAGAGGCAGAGGGATGCCACATGCGAAGAGTCACTGGCCATGGTTGGCTTGGAAGATGAGGAAGGGGCCACGAGCCAAGGACTGCGGAGTCCTCTCGAAGCTGGAAAAGAAGCCTCCAAAGGAACCAGCCCTGCGACACCTGGCTTTAGCCCAAGGAGACCATGTTGGACTTCTGCCTTCCAGTCTACACAGCAGCCACAGGATATTCACAACCACACTCGCCATTTCCGAAACTGCCTTCTTCGAGCACAGGAACTTGCTTCTGGATCCCCAAAGGGCTGAGCTGACAACAATGGCTCTTACTTAAAACACTACTCATTTCCATTATAAACTGTTTGCACTAATGAGTTTTTGAAAGGTTAAAAAATAAAATTGGAGAAAACTGAAGTCTCCTCTAAGAATTCACATTTTCTTTTCCCCAGCACTTACTCTCCTTCAGATCTTTCATGATCAGAAAACAGGGCACGGTTCTGTCCAGTTCCATAGCTCTCCTTCCCCATCACCAGGGAGGCTGCCACCCTTCCCCCTCCCCCCATGATCCATAGAGTGGAGCAGTCAAAGGCAGCAGTTGGTGTGGCGGCAGCTGGTGTGGCCACAGTCCACCTGAGGAGCCAGCTCTGCCTGGGAGCAGTCAGGAGACAGCAGAGCTTGGGGACATCCCCTCAGCACACCCACAGCCCTCGGTTCTCAAAGCTGAGAACCCAAGTCCCCTCTGCATGGCCCAGAGGGCCTCCGCTGGGCATCAGTCTCCTTGTGGCTTAGGAAAGCATCACTGTTTTTTAAGAAAGAGCAACAAGATCTAGGCGGGCTCCCTAGGTCCCTCCAGCAAGCATCCCTATATGCTCTTTACTCCACAAACTCCCAACACGAACAGGTCAAAGGACTCTAATCAAGAAACACTAGCTGGGACCTGAAGAAAGGGAGACACAAAGCTGTGTTTAGTCATGGAAGTGTTTTAGGAGCCTCTGTTCCTCAGAGGGTTCGGCAGTGGCTAGCTTGTGTTTCATCCCTTTGCCTCTTTTTGGAGGTGGACCACCAGTTCCTTCTCTCCACAGGTTGCTTTGCCCTGGTCTGTAAGTCTGAAGTTAATGACTGAACCACTCTGTTTCATCTTTCCTCGTTGCCCACCTTCACAACATTTCTCAAATTGTCATCTTTGTGCTACTTAATGTATAGCTACGTTTTTAGGAATCTGGAGATTCAAAACCTCTAGCTCAGCAGAGGAGCCCCTGCAGAAACACTGACTAGACCAGGGGTGGGCAAACTTTTTGACTCGAGGGCCACAATGGGTTCTTAAACTGGACCGGAGGGCCGGAACAAAAGCATGGATGGAGTGTTTGTGTGAACTAATATAAATTCAAAGTAAACATCATTACATAAAAGGGTACGGTCTTTTTTTTTTTAGTTTTATTCATTTCAAACGGGCCGGATCCGGCCCGCGGGCCGTAGTTTGCCCACAGGTGAACTAGACAATGTGTCATTAGTTGACCCCGTGTCCCACAAGACCTTATTTCCAGTCTAAGACAACACAGCTGCGAGTGGGAGACCTGCTGGTTGGGAGCCTGGCACAGTACTTGTGGCATCTGCACTACATCTCTTAGTGAGCAGACTCACTCCTGACTTACAGGCATCTGTGAATTTTTTATGAAGCAGTCCCATGCAGGAATGTCCACGCAATGTTCTTGCTTACCAGCCCTCATGTCCCCCCAGTGTGGCACCTCATGTCTAATTGGCACAATCAAGTGTGGTTTATTCCCAGTGGCAAAGCTGAGGAAAAAGTAATGTGGGCAACAACATCCCACCAAGTGGAGGTTTGTGTTTCAGGTCAGAGGTCGTGCCAGGCAATAATACTGTTCCACAACAGCTAGGAAAATCAAAATGGGGAAAAGATGAAAGGTAAGAGACCTGGTAGGAAATCCTCCAAACCACACAGCCACCTGCCCTTTTGGTGGGTGAAAGCGAGAGAGGGTACAGACTGCGATGCCATGGCTGCCCTAACTCAGCACTGATTTCTAGATCCTGGACTGAACTTTAAAAATCTAAGCAATGTTTTCAAATACTAAGCTAAAATGTTAGGTATTTTAATGTAGTTACAGTTTATAATTGATGTATATTTTAAAGATCCCTTAACAAGTGAATTTAAGGTCAAATCATATAACAATTTTTAAAGGAAACTTAAGAAATCATGGAACTTATTTCCGAGAAGGTTCTGCCTGTACTCTGGTTTTGGCAATGAGCCACAACCCTCTACAAATGGAAGGCATTTTACGGTATCCTAAGATAGATTTTCCCCTGTCAGCATTGCCAATCAAGGGACTTCTCACATGATCTACACAGCTGATTAAATCTTAAGAATTATGTCAGAAATCTCAGAATCTAAGTGTGCAGAATTATAATAGTGAAGATAGGCACATTACCAGCCTGGCTGGTAAATGAAAATAAAAATAGGAAAATGTTCTCCATTGGGAATTCATTCAAAATACTATGCCTTTTAAACATTTCCACATTGGTTTGGTTTTGCTCAGTGATCAGAAATGAGTTAAACATTTAAAGTGCAAACTACTGGAGGAAAAGACCTTCAGCCACTTAGTTATCATTCTTCCCCTGCTCGTACTCCAGACCCTGCAGAGAAACTTGCCCAGGGGACTTCCACCACGTGAGGCCTCGGCGGAAGCCCTGCTGCTCAGCTCCAACACCTTGACTCCAGCATTGGGAGAGGGTGGGTGGCCTAGCACCTAAGCCTGCCTCCTGCTCCTCTCACCACAGCCCCATCAGCGGCACAAAGCTGGCCTGGATGAATTCCCACTCATTTCCCAAAAATGAGCTTTCAGCTCCTTCTTCATTCTTCCTGCTCATTTTCTGTTCGGTACCTTTTCCAAACAGGCTCTGGAATGTAGAAAGATCTAACTGGAATGCAGTGAGCTTCCAGGCCAGTAGCCAGAGGCAGCACCTCCCGGCTGCCAGCCACTGTGAGCCTGCGGCTGCACTTACTGTGGGGCTCCCCGAAGGGCAGCACATCGTCCGTGAGGCACTCATGGGTGGGGTGCAGGCATGAGCCGTACCCCAGCTTCATTTAGAGGGTTCCTCTACATTTCTGAAGCACAGCCAATTATTTTCCAAAAGAAAATAGCCCAGGGCACGGATATAAAGCAGCCTACTAAGGGGATCCTGGACCTAAGAGCACTGTTTTGTGGAGCACACACATCTGGTTTTCCTCTCTATATTGCCAATTCTGAAACTATTTAATATCCAAATGAGATAATGCCAAGGCTGGTGCAGAACCAAAAATAAATGCAAGAAGCCCAAGG